AAAATTATAGGTCAGTCATGGGATGACTTAATACCGGCTCTGTTGAATGCCTCCGAGAAGTATCGACTCAAATTGACATTCCATATGGAACCGTACAAAGGGCGTAATGCCACAACGATTCACCGTGATATTGTGTACATAACAAAAACCTATGGCACACATCCGGCACTTTACCGAAGGCTACGAAGCACCGATAGTAAAATAAGTGAGCATTTTGTTGCGTATAAGGTCTGGTTGATTGGAATAAAAGGAGAGGGAGGGCAACTGATCAACAATTGATTTGATTTATCATACTTGTGACGAGTGGAACAATTATAATTGATTGAAGAAAGCTTGAGAAATGAGCTTCATTTGAACTTCTCGCTTGTTTTGTTTTATTCTTCAATCCGAAGTAAAGGATATTTGAGCTCTTACTGATCCTTCATTGAGCCGTACTCTTTTTCAGACGTAATGAAGGAAGGTCGACCTTTGCTGTATTTCTACGATTCATATTTGGTTAGTACGGAACAGTGGAAAATGTTGACGACGAAATCGGGTAAACTGTCTGTGAGGGGAACGGCATACGATGTGATATTTATTGGTTCGTTTTTGAGATCGTTGTGAATTGATGGAAGCACATCTCGCAAAATATTGATCTGTTGATGAAATGAATTATTTTGTAGTATTCCGAGATAATTGATGCGGATATTTTGTTGAACAAAATCTTATTCATATTAATTTGTGAAGAATTTCGTTCCCATATCAAGAATGTTTTTTTCTTCGAATTTGAGTACTTAAGGGTATTGTGTTTAGGACTGCTGGTGAAAGCTGAAGATAAATTCATATTGAGCGAATCTGGTTTTGATGGTATTTACACGTATTTCGCCAGTGAAGGATTTTCCTATGGTTCAACACCGGCGAATTGGCCATCGATCACTACTTACTGCAGGTTTGGTGTGCTTCAGATTGGTTTTTGATTCTAAATAATCTGATAAGAAAGAAGAACTGAAGTGAACTCGAGTACGAAGTAGTCTTTGCAGTTGTGATGTTGCATCGTTATTGAATTGTTTTTACTTACGATTAGGTTTATTCTGCTTGGCAGCATTTATTCTCTTCGAGAGAGATACAAATGGAGTTTACAAAATTTTTGGATATTGTTGAATATCCGAGCATTTTGGTTGATTGAGTATTGTTGATTTGAGGAAGTTCAAATTTGATCGGTGAAGTATTTTTGAGGAAGAACAAGATGTTGTTCGTGCCATCGGTTGGTCCAGGCTATGATGATATTCGTGTTCGGCCGTGGAATGGGCAAAATACGAAGAATCGAAACGACGGCGAGTATTATTCGCGAATGTTCAAAATGGCGCATACTGCAAGGGTAGAGTTTAAAAATATCTTGTTTAAAAATATTACTTTGATGATCACTGTAGTATTTATCTGATGAGTTCTTATAATATCAGCATCAAACTTCAGCGGATTTTAAGAAATCTGAATTTCAATGAGCCTTACCAATAGCCAGTTGCACTTTAAGCTTGACTTTACTTCATCAAGAACCATTTCATGCTTTCGGTGCTGTCGAATTCCTTGTATTTAGCCGTTGAGTGAATTTTTTAGCAGAAGTTTTAGTTGATTGATCTGTGCGATGTGTATGTAATTCGAAGATTTTGGACTGCTACAACTTCGAGTGATGTTGTGGGAGTTGAAGTTTTTACACTGAATGATTTTAGCCGGACATTCTATCGATAACCTCGTTCAATGAGTGGCATGAAGGAACTCAAATTGAACCCGCAATGCCATTCCACGACAACCAAACAAATTACACTTATCAACAGTACCCGAAAGGCCCCGAACAGTACCTGCACTTAACGCTGGACCTCATCAAGAAATATTTCATGCCAGCTCATCAAATCGCACCTGCCAAAATTGCTAATATCGTCTAGCAGTCATTCTTTCTTTTCAACAAGCTTTTTCGCTTGTCTGTTCAAAGACCAAAATATATTTGCGCAATAAGTTTGGGAATTCCACTGTCCTATTAAGTAGGACAGCGTAATCTGTTTTTCATTCGTCTCATATTTTTCACAGACGATGAGTGAACAGATTTACACTGTTAGGCATCAAGCACTATGATTGAGTTTGATCAGACAGTTGTTTATTGTGTTTGATCAGGTCATTCGGACTGTTGTTCACAAGTGCAAGAGAATGTCTGATGATATAATAATAAAAGTGAACGGTGTCCTAAACTCATACTTTCGAAATTGTTTGCTTGTTTTGGAATTCATGTGAAGAATTTACGCGTAGCAAAGTTGTGGAACGTGTAATTTATTGCTGCCGTTGTTTTTATGTTTCCTTATTCCATCTGAGAATTTTTTTGCTGTCTCTTAAGGGGAATTAGAGACAAGTTCTGAATTGTAATGACGTGTTACTAAGCGTTCATTGATCACATTAAGTGCGTTCGCTCATTAGATTCATATTGTTTGAGCAGGTTTTCATCGTTTCGCTGAATTAACTTTGTTCAGATTGGCATAACATTGGTTTCAGATTGCGAAGGTGTGTATTTATGTGTGTGTTTTTTTTTGAAATTTGTCAAGTTGATTAGCAACGGCTTTGATTTTGCATCGAGAGGATGATGCTATGTTAATTGATTGCTTTAGTTGTACATAAATGTTATGCGATATTGTATAGTAGATACGTTATGACATTTTTCATTATCATTCATATCCGTCTGCAGCTGATGATTCCCGTGCAAAACAGTGGATGCTGACATTTCATAGGTGGTTGGGATTTTTTTCTTCTCTCGTTTATCCATCCTGAAAGTTTCACCGAAATCTTAATAGTCCACGCGATCTGTTCCATGTTCAACCATATGTCTTTGCTTTGCTCTTATTGCTGTCATGAATAGAGGATAGAATCGCGCTAACAATAAGTTTCATTGCGTTTTTACTTGAATTGAAATTTTTATCTGTAAAAAAACTGACTCATCTGACTTGAGGAATCAATGATTAGAATTATTTTAAGTTTAACGATTGCGTTAAATGATTCGGTGAAACGAGTGCTTGTTCTTATTTTGAGATGTGATCCTGATTATGTCAGTTCAAGGCTGACACAGCATTTGGTCATCGGGTTTTTTGTTCTCGTCGTTTGTATTGTTCAATACTTTCACGTCATGTGCAATTGTTTCTATGATTTTGGGGTACATTCATGATTAAAAAAACAGTGATATCTCTCAGAGGATTACCTCTCTATGATGTAGTATCTGAAGAAAGACCGTGAGATATGAGATAATATCTGAAGTAATCATGGTGATGTTTTGCTTAAGGAATGATCATTAGTGAACATGTACGTCCAAGATTGTTAGGATCGAAAAGTAAGCTCAGTTCTATGCAAGTCAGTCATCTCTTTCAGAACTTTCAAATAGCAATCTGAATTTTCCAAATCACTGTTATATCGCCTGTGAGCAAGGGGAGAAGATTAAATTCAAAATGTGAATTTCATTGTAGAAGTTAAGTGAACTCATTACAGTTGTTCAACTCCATAAATTTACTCGCGAATCTTACAAAGAATGATCAATGTATGTTCAGAAACGCCGTGAAAACGCATTTGCTTAACCTCGATTGAAACTGTTCAATGTTCTATTGTTTCGATCAGTTATTTTGTATTCGCAGTTTTGTGCCATTTTGTGATATGTTTCATTTCGCGACTGCTTTCGTATTTTACCATCTTTTGGATTTCACTACTTCAGGATTGGCTTTTTTCAAATTATTCAAAAATTTTCTCATCTCTCATTTCAGCATATCGATGTATTGCGAAGAGCTTGGAACTTTTGGGAATGGCGACATTCCGAATGAGATTCGGCCATTTGCTCATGGTCTGTGTATTGTGAAGTTACTTCTTGTAAAAAGTTTATCGTTTGCATAATTGTTAATCAGTGATAATGAATTTGAAATCTATTGTTTGTGAATAAACTCATTGCTAAACAATGTTCATCTTATTGAATAAACTTTTGAATGCGTTTAAAATCTTTTAATTGAGAAGCGAAAATAAACATTTCACGTTGTAACCAGATGAGATCTTATTCCATATGCGAGCATCTGTTTAAGAAAATTAAATGAAAATGACGTTGGTAGACGAGATTTCTTGTTTGCAAAAATTCGGCTATATCCTCAAAATTGTTTCGTTTGAAACGGAACGAAAGAAAAGTCTGCGAAAGCGGTGAAAGAGTTGCGCATTGTGGAAGAATGTTTTCTTCCGGTCGTAAGTTTGTTTATTCTTCGAATAGCAATCGGACACTAGAACAGTTATTGGTTGGCAACGCCGAAATGGCATTTGAAAAGGGGTTGATGTAAAGTGTGGAAATAAGATCTTTTGAAACGAAACGAAAATGTCGCTTTGTAAAGAAAAAATGTGGTTGTTATGTGTAAACAGCGATAAATAGATAACATTATTGATGAAATTATCTTTTGAGAAGCACCACAATAGCATGAGATTTATCGGGAAAAAAAAGAAGCAAAAGTCTGAACATTCTGTATTCTTAATACAGGAATCGCTTTGAATAACAATAAATCTAAGCAGCAAAGCGACAAGCTGAAAAGAAGCATCCGCTACTGGCTGACTACTCGACTGATTGTCGAGATGTTAAGCGCTAACAGAAATTATTCATCTGCTTTTTTCTGTGTGTGTTTGTGTGACAACCGAATAAAATTTAATTACAAAATTTTCCACGAAAACCATCAACAGCAACACAATTGTGCAACGTTTATGTGGGTGAACATGAATATTGCGGCTGAATGTTTCAGTCGCAAAACGTAATGGTAAACAAAATGTTTTGCCTTAGCCCATGCCTTAGAAATCTTACGATCAGAGCTAGCGGTCAATCATCGAATCAGCAATCAGCGATTTTGCGTGTTTCGTCGTTCATGTAAGTTCAAAATTTTGTTGCACATAATATATTCTGTCATATGGATTCTTCGTCACTTCTAGAGCTGCAGATTTTTAAAATGGTATCTTGGATCAGATCGTCTGAATTGACTGTTTAAGTAGCGGATCATGAAACATGTGAAATCAAATCAAAAATGCTTTTCGGTTTATCACCTTAGCCACTCTGTACAACTGAGCTTCAGTTATTGCTATTTACAATTAGAGCTAAATTGTGAAAGATTTATAGCTGGATTCTGAGATATCACAACACTTTGTGAGTAACACAAGTACCATCTCCAAACCAATGGTATATATCTTCAGGTTTGCCCAGCAGTGCACACTTTTTCTACATAATCGCATTTAGGAAACCCTTTACGCATAGATATACACAAATTATCAACAGCATACCATTTGGTTATTCTATCACCTCACTCTATACATTTGATCTAAATGTTGATCAATCTGAAATGTCGTGAGTACTTTTTTCAATCCCGAATCCAGAATATTTTCTAATATACCACCAAAGAAATCTATCGATGGTTAGTACTCAGCATCAAGAATTTTAGCTAAACAATCGAGTAGATAATGCGTAGCTGTTCAAGATTTGAGTCATATGGCTGAGTTATTTTCCAATTCTTTTTATGCTTCCTTTTTCATGCTCTCATTAATGTGATTATTTTGATTATCATCGGTAATCTCTAACCAATTTGGATAGTTTTTGATCTTCGACGACAATCGATAGGAATGCTACACCCGTTCGTTGATATGTTATGAATAAAGCGTGATGAGATGCAAGAGAATGCTTCATATAAATGGAATTCGGTTGTTTGTTGCTTGGTGATTTGACGATTTGGTCATATCAGTGCGTCATAGAACAATGTGTTTATCCCACACCCTCATCCGAATATCTCTTGAATGAGTTGTTCAGAAATGACGTTGTGTTGTGTGTCTTCTTCATATTTCGTATGTCCCAATCTCGCTGCCTTTCCATCATAAAAGTGAAAATCATGTTTCCTATTGAAAATCTATTCAAAAAAACAAAACTTTTCAATGACTCTCTGCGATCACTACTGAATTGACGTAGTCGTGATGAAATTTTTGAGCTTTGATCTACGGAGAACACATTTTGAATGTTCTTGAAGTGATTCTTGATTCCATTCGAGAATCCTTTCATGCTTATTTTCACATGATATTTGGATTTCTTGATCAAATGAGAGTGTTTGAGAAGTGAAGCTAATGAATTAGTAATTGCTCAGTGCTATTTCAAACAGTGCACTGTGACTTCTGAGCGTTCAACTATCAAACAAGCGTGAATGAAGCTTTAAATATGTTGCTTTTTGTTGTCAGCAATGAGTGGTTCCGTTGAACAATTGAAGTGACCAGGTAAAGCATTATTAAGTACTAGCTCATTAAGTCATTATGGTGTTGCAGAGATGTGGAATGAATAAATCATGAATACGATAACAATATGTTACGTGCACAGCATGTTTGCGAGTTCATCGTGAAAGCATTCGAAATGATCGCACTCTTTGAAGACAGCAGCCAGCAGGTTATAATTTCACAACTGAATATGCCAGCTATAAAACACCACTTCTCTGTGGCATTTATTTCGTCGAAATTCCTCCTTCCCTGTTGATTATTTGGCGAACAGCTTGGAACTAAAATNTTGGCGAACAGCTTGGAACTAAAATTTTATCATGGCGTTTGATAGAAATTGAATGGATTGATTGTCGACTTGTGATTGTTATCCCATTCGAACGTTAGCCACGCCTTACTTCAGCCTATCTGATACTTTCACTGCGACGAAAAATGTTGATCTGGAAACCTGGACCATTGGCAAGTATCAACTCAACATGCCATCTGGCGTCTGACTGATAATTCCATGTGTTCTAAATAAGGGCCTGGAAACAGCTGGCTTAAATAAGGTTGTTTATGGCATGGTAGAATTGAGGAGGAAATAATGGGGAATTTTATTGGATGTGTTCGTTAGCTCCAGTCCTCTGGTTGTTACGAGAATATTGACGAG